TTCTCAGCTCCGGCAGTGAGAACCGGAGCCCGGACCAGGGTTGCTGCCTAGCCCTGACGGAGGGCGGTAGCCCCTTGCAGAGACCGATCCAGGCCGAGTAGTGAGGGGGCCTGGCTCCCGACGGCCCCTGAGAGGGCCCAACCCCCACACCGGACCTTTACAGGGCACTAACCACTACCAGTTCAGGATCCTTCCCTTCGACATTGTGACAACCCCCATAGTCTTCACGAAAGTGTTTGCAGTAGTGGCAGCACATCTCCGGCATCTGGGATACTCCATGCTCCTGTATTTGGACAACTGGCTTCTCTTCATGCCTTCCTGCACCAAGCTAACATCTGCCATTCACAGTCTTCACTCTCTCCTCGCCACTCTGTGTCTGCATCAATGAAATCAGTGCTCATCCTGACACACAATCCACTTCCTTGGTGCCCACCTCCATTCCATGGCTGCTCGGGCCTTTCTCCTGGGAGACTGCTTCACCACCTTGATGGCTGTAGTGGTGGACCTTCACCGCAACCCCCGCACCACAGTGCACCTACGTAACGCTGTATACTCAATTACATGTGTGCTGTCCTACAGCTGTGGCTCCTGTCAGTTGCCTGGCCCCATGCCACCCACTTCGATGACACACTGCTTGTTCTGTGCTCGCTTTGGGCCTCCCTGCTCTGGTGGATCAACTCTCCAAGGTGCTCTTCAGCACCCCTTTCGCCACACCTGTCCCAACTGTTACCTTGACCACAGATGTCTCCCTCACTGGTTGGGGCGTTCATCTGAGTGAGCACGTTGCTCAGGGGTTTTGAACTCAGCACGAGGCCCACCAGTACATCAATGTCTTCCAGCTCCGAGCAGTCCGCTTGGTTTGCCGCATGTTCCTGCTGCTCATCTGTGCCAGTTCAAATTCTCTCTGACAATACTACAGTGGTGGCTTACATAAACAGGCATGAGAGCACCAAGCCTCTGTCTCTTTGTACAGAATCCATCCACCTCTGGAACTGGTGCATCTGCCATCATGTCACGCAGCACGCAGTATATCTCCAGGGCACGCAGAACTCCATGGCCAATGTGCTCAGCTGGCACTGATACCTCAATCACAAGTGGCAACTCCACAACCCCACTCTCCATTCGCTCTCCATGCCTGGGATACCCCTTGCCAGGATCTTTTTGCCATATGTGACAACCACAAGTTCCCCCTCTACTGTTGCTGGGGGGCCATGGAACCCAGCTCCCAAGGTGGTGCTCTCCTCCTGCCTTGGGATGGCAAACTCCCCTATGCCTCCCGCCCCATTTCCCACCTTCCCGAGGTGCTACAGAAAGTCTGCTAGGACACAAGCCACAATACTGCTGATCGCTCCATTCTGGCCTGGTCAGTTGTGGTTTCCCGACCTCCTCCGGCTTTCTGCCCATCCCCCCCATCCCACCTCTGCCTGATCCTGGATCTCACGGACCGGGGCACTGTTCACCACCCCAGTCCTGGCCCTCTTCGTCTCATAGCCTGGTTTTTGGATGGGGCTTGTGCATAGATAATACCTGCTTGGCACCAGTGTGCCTCATCCTTACCCACAGCAGGCAGGCCTCCACCAGAGCATGTTATACAGTGAAATGGGTCTGTTTCATCTTCTGAGCTCGGCGCCATAAACTTTCCCTGGACGCTGTCTCCATCCCTACTGTCCTGGCCTACCCCCTTGAACCTAAGACCTCAGGCCTTTCCCTTAGTTCTGTCCTGGTCCACCTGGCAGCGCTCAGTATCTTCTCCCCCCCCACACTCCCCGTGGATGGATGCTCAATTTTTAACCATCACACCACTACACGCTTCCTGAAGGGGCTGCTGAACACCTTCCCACTGGTGATCATGCCTGAATCCTCCTGGGACCTCAACCTTGTCCTTTCCACCTCACTAGACACCCCCTCCCTCTCCCGCACTTTGAGTTCCTGGCCATGTGCTCCCTTTCCCACTTCTCCATAAGGGTCATTTTTCTCATGGCTATCACTTCTGCTCAGTGGATCAGCGAATTGGCCGCCATGATGGCCGACACACTATATACAGTCTTCCATAAGGACAAGGTCTCCTTATGCCTTCACCCCAAATTTCTCCCGAAGGTGGTTTCAGACTTCCACATCAACCAGTCAATTTACCTCCCGGTCTTACATTCTAAGCCACATGCCAATCTGGAAGACAGAACCTGCACTCACTTGATGTTCGTCGCACCCTCACCTTCTACCTTGACAGGACCCGTGACTTCCGTGCTTCTCCACACCTTTGCAGACAGATCCCGAGGTCAGGCCCTCTCCTCCCAATGTGTTTCGAAGTGGGTCTTGGCCTGCATCTGTGCATGCTACGAGCTCCCTAATGCCATGTCGCCCGGCTGGATTATGGCACACTCGACACAGGCATAGGCAGTCACTTCCTCCTCCTTGGCAGATGTATCCTGGCATAACATCTGCTGGGCAGTGACATGGCGTCTTGTCCATACCTTCATGGCCCGCTATGCTATAGCCCAGGGGGCAGTAGTCGATGCAGCCATGGGTTGTGGTGTCCTTCGGACTGTGATACCTCTTGCATCCTCGCAACCTTCTCTGCACTAATCACTGCTTGGTACTCACCTGCGTTTGGAATACATATAGAGACCGTCACTCGGAAAAGAAGAGGAGGAGGTTACTTATCTGTAACTGAAGGTTCTTCAAGATGTATTTGTATTCCAATACTCACCCTCCTTCCCCTCTGTTGTGGTCCACGTTGCTCGGTGGTGAGAGGGTGACAGCGATGGGGTGTTGTCCCACACAGCCTCATATAACCTCGCCTGTGGCACAAGGCTACGTACAGCGCACGTGTGGGCCAATGGATACTGATATAAAAATCTTCTGTCTCTGGTGTATGGCACACATGCACATTCATGTTTGGAATACAAATAAGGACCACACATCTCGAAAAATCTCCTGTTACAGGTAAGTAACCACCTCTTATCTCACTAAGGGTATGTGTACACTACCCGCCGGATCGGCAGGCAGCGATCAATCCAGCGGGGATCGATTTATTGCGTCGACGCGATAAATCAACCCCTGAGCCCTCTCCCGTCAACTCCTGTTCTCCTGCGCCATGAGAGGCGCAGGCAGAGTAGATGGGGGAGTGGCAGCAGTCGACTCACTGCGGTGAAGACACCACAGTAAGTCGATCTAAGTACGTCGACTTCAGCTATGTTATTCACGTAGCTCAAGTTGCGTAACTTAAATCGATTTTTTTTCCCCCCACCAGGGCTAAAGAATTTATTGGGATTGTTATCTCAAAAGAATCATTTGCTGAGCCATTATCCCTTAGATTTACAGAAGCTTAACACTTCACTTGCAGTTTCAAATACTGGCTTCCCATCTCGCATATAATGGAAGACCTGAATTAATGTGGTGGAAGGCAAATAAAAAAATAGTCTCCAAACCCTACAACCTCAGAATAGCCATATTCTCTGTTATCACATCACATCCTTTCCATTGTGATTGCACCATGTGTCCAATGCTAATAAAGAGTATTAAATCTTACAATTGTGTTTACATATTGGAAAGATACTGCTTTAATACCATGCTCTAGAAACCTGCCAGTGAATTTACAGTTGTTTTATCAGCATACCGCTGGTTGGTTAGTACTATTTTGTTAAAATGATGATCATTGCTTCATGGAAGAAGGACTTGGAATTGGGTGCATGGACTTATGTGCAGTATTATGCTTTTGTATTTTACAAAATTTTGATATTATTGAATAATGTTGCAGCAGAATCTGTGCTGTAGTTATCCTGCTGGGTACTTTTAACCTGAAGGTATTTGGAATTGTTTTGGACCTAAGAGCAGAAGAAGGATTTCCCTATTTTGTGAGAGAGGATCAGTATCTTTGTAGAATTCTGAAGGGTCCAGGGTGTAGTCTATGCTAGAAAAGGTTTGCTGGTATAACTATATGAGCAAACCATTCTAAAGTAAATGCAGCTTCAACTAGCAAAATAGTTTATACCGTTGCCCCGAATGAAGTAAGCGTTACTCGCAAAGGTACTTTTTGCCATTATGATTGCATCTATATTATTCCTTTTGCTGGTATAAAAATATCTTTTCAAAAAAATCACACCCATAACCAACCTTTTTTCTGGCCTTCATTGTTTGGACTGTGTAATGTAATCTGCCACTGTGTAATGTCATCACGATAATCTTGTAAAAAACGTGTGTGTGTGTGTGTATACACACCTCTACCCCATATAACGTGACCCAATATAACATGAATTCGGATATAACGCGGTAAAGCAGTGCTCCGGGGGGCGGGGCTGTGCATTCCGGCAGATCAAAGCAAGTTCGATATAACGTTTCACCTATAACGCGGTAAGATTTTTTGGCTCCCAAGGACAGCGTTATATTGGAGTAGAGGGGTGTGTGTGTGTGTGTGTGTGTGTATAGATATATTAAAAAATATTTTTTACATACTTCATAAGTAGATCTCACTTTTTCTGTCTGTCATTCCAGGTGATGCCGCAAGTGTGATTCAGTTTGGTAAATCATCCAAACGATCACCAGAATCGACTCAAATTGGGCAGTATGGGAACGGCTTGAAATCGTAGGTATAACAGAAGCCAGCCTTCTGAGATCTTGGGGTTTGGCTGATAGCGGGCCAGCAAATGTTGAGCTTTATATACTTCTATAAAAAGGAAACCCTTAAAGTCACATTTAAAAAGCTACCAACCTTTAAGGGAGTTATGGGTGGCTTTACTTGTTAGCTTTGGATACACTTTGTGTACGTCTGTCTGTCTTTCCTTGTAACTCTTCCTCAGGCAATGAAGCTGGTCCTAGTCCTATGACATCACAATAACTTACACTCCATGCCAATATCATAATGATACTGAGACTAGAGGCTTGAATGACCATTTGCAAATAGGAGGCTACGGTGACCTCTAAAGGTGAATCCTGTAGATACAACGTGGCTACCAGTACTGGATTCCTAAAGAATCTTTTGGGATGATTGTGAATCTTTATTGGGAATGAAGTTCCGATTTGCTCAGAATTTGCTCTTTTGGTTTGGGGCACATACTACTCCTGGGAGAATTCTGTGCCAAAAAATTAAAACTTCTGCATATTTTAGTTGTTTAAATAACACAGTATAATAAAGCCAGTTTCAATTATTTTGGTCATTTATTTCAAAATATCTGTCAACAAATATGTCTAATAATACAGACCAAAAAAAAATGTTGGAAAATTTTTTTTTACAAATAATATTAATACAGAACTTTGAGTAATTCATTTAAATTACAATACGGAACTGTATTTCCTGCACTTGTCAGAAGCAGTTTAAAGACTTGGGGGTATCAGGGGTAATAGGAGTTGAGGGAGAGAGTAGGAGCCTGGGAGTGAAGCTGGAGAGTATTGGGTGTGGTTGGGAGAAGGTGTTGTTTTTTGGGGGGGATGAGGGGGAAAGGATTGTTAGAGAGTTGGGAAGCCTCCCCCATGCAGACCCTGGCTAAGCTCTAGCCTTTCCCATTCAGTCAGACGCATCTGCCCCTGTCCCCGCACCCCCCTATCCCCATGGGTCTCTGCAGCCTCCTCCCCCATCCCCAAGTGTTCCTGCAGCCTCCCTCCCCAGGCTCAACACGGTCACCCCACAAGCTCCTGAGCCCATGCTGCACTAGCCCACTAGTCCTCCACACTAGCCATTCTGAACCCCAGTCTGTGACACCTCCCCCCAACAGCCTTGTTGTACTCTGTCGTAACCTGGCTCCGCGGGCAGGGTGCTGTGATGAACTTCTACTCCTGGGGGAAGTCTGCAGCACTGGGCACTCATAGAAATTTTTTTCCCCACAGAAAATACATTCTGCCCCAGAAGTGCTGCAGTTCTGCCTTTTGCACACTAGAAGCCGCTGTGGCGCCAGAACAGCTGGCTGTGTCCATGTGGCTGGTTGTTCTGGCGATACAGCGGCCTCTGGTGGGCAAAAGGCGGAACTGCAGCATTTCTTGGGCAGAATATATTTTATGCAAGGAAAAAACAAAATTATGCGGGACAGATGAAATTCCCCCAGGAGTAACATACCAAAATGAAAGCTTATTTTGGGGGCACCAAGACTTTAAAAGTGACTATTGGGTGTCTCAATTGTAGGTGTCAGCTGAGTATCTAAAATCACAAATCGCCTCTGAAAAGCGTGGCCTGGACCACTAATTTTTCCACTTTTTTCCTCTTTTAAAGTCTGTGAATTTGGACAATTGGACAGGGGGAAATGTTCGACACAGAATTTAGATTAATGGGTTTCTGTATTACAGTAGTTCCTAGAGGCCCCAACCAGGATCAGAATCCCATTGTGTTAGGCCTGGTCCACAGTAACCCCCCATTTCGAACTAAGGTACGCAAATTCAGCTACATTAATAACGTAGCTGAATTCAAAGTACCTTAGTTCGAACTTACCGCGGGTCCAGACGCGGCAGGCAGGCTCCCCCGTCGATGCTGCGTACTCCTCTCGCCGAGCTGGAGTACCGGTGTCGACGGCGAGCACTTCCGGGATCGATTTATCGCGTCTAGACAAGACGCGATAAATCGATCCCAGAAGATGGATTGCTTACCGCCGGACCCGGAGGTAAGTGTAGACCTACCCCAAGACACTGTACAAACAAAAGCCGACAGTCCATGCCCTGAAGAGCTCACAGTCTAAATAAACAAGATGGACAAAGGGTGGGGAGTGCACAAAAAGAAGCGACTCACCCAGGGTTATGCAGCAGGTCATTGGCAGAACTGGGTATAAAAGCCAGGTGTCTTGAGTCCGGTCCAGTGCAACATCTGCTGGACCACGCTGCTTCTCATTTGAACAGTTTTCTAATGCAAAGACAAGTGATAGAAATTCTAGTTTTCTTCAAGTGATGGTCCCTATGTGTATAACACATATGGGTACACAAGTGCACCATGCGTCAGAGTCCAGAGATTTTTAGTAAAAAGTGTCCATTGGTTCACACATGTGCAGTTACTCTCCTCGTGTTCTGAACCAAGAGTGCAATGGGCAGTGTGGACCAACCCTGCTCCAGTTCCTTTTTACTATCACGTGGCCTGAGTCAGAATCTTCTGGGTCTACAGCTGCTTCTATCATTTTCTTTAATCTGTAATTATATATTCTAAATAGTTATTTAGTATTTTAGTATTTTCAATATTTGTTCCCTGCCTTGGGAAAATTCTCTCTGGAAGGCAAGGGACTATGCCTTGTGTCCTGGGGTTTAAGAACTGTTTCTGTTTCCTGCCCCTGCTTCTTTTCAGTGAGTGACTAACACCAGCACTGCCTTTACTGCCTCGGTGAGGTTCACGTCTGCTAATTACAGCATCTGCCACTCCTTCCCTCCTCAGACTTGGGTTTGAGAGCTCAGACTGAAAAAGCCATGAGACCCCAGTTCGATCTGGGCCAAGGAGCCCCCTCTGCACACTAATCTCAATAAATGGGCAGTGCTCCTCCGAACACGAGCTCAGGAGCTGAGACTACAACTTCCAAGCCCAGAGAATGAATTAGAGTAAGGGGCACTGTCACAAGCATCGGGACAGATGCTCTGAAAAGATCCATCCCTGGTTCTGTCCAAGTCAGGCGAGTCCTTGCGTATGGATGATAAGGACGTAGGTCCAGGTAAGTTGCCTCTACAGCAGAATGTGGTGCGCAGGAATATGGATCCATTGGTACCAGTCGTGGTGCTGATGTATAACCCAAAGGACAGGTGTTCCATTACCTTCAACATCCAGATCAGACTCCAATGTCCATTATAACCAGGGAAGTCTCAGCTCTGGTGGCCCAACCACCCATACACCTAGCACCCTGAGACCTGTGTCTCCCTGGAGGACATTTTTGCTCTCCCTGTCCTCAATCCCTTCTCCTCTTAGCTCCAACCTTATTTAGATATAACATCACACTTGGAAGAAACCACCTCGAGTACACTGGGGTGATCTCTACCATCCATGAATCTGAGTACTCATCCATCGGTACCAATGGTTCTGCTTGTCAATTAGGAACCTATCTTCTGATCTGATGAGTCAGAGGCTCCAGATGAACCTCTACCCTTGCATAGGGAGATGAGTCTGGCCAGAAGCTCCAGTACATCTGGGTCCTGTCTCTGCCAAGATATGACTTCACAGTGCCATGGGGTTGGCTCCAACTGGTTCACTCCTCATACTGGTATTACTGGAGGCCCTGGGACCCTTAATCTAGGCACCCCAGATCTGTGCATGAACCTTATATACCTTCTCCTAGCTGACGCCAACCGGCTTCATCAGAGTGTGAAGAGGAGGAAGTTGTGCCAGATTCAGGAGTTTCGGCGGCCATTTCATCGTCCTTGCCAAATGAAGTAGTCACCCCATCTTCACCATCTCTGCCTGATGATCACAGGCAATATCATGAACTCTTACAAAGAGTGGCATCTGAGCTGCAGATCCAGCTCAAGGAGGTTCCAAGAGCCTCAGCATAGACTATTAAACATCTTACAACCCTCGAGTCCCGGTCAAGTGACCCTCCCAGTCAGTGAGGGCAGAGTAGTGTGGCACACTCCTGCCTCATGCACTCCCTTCCCAAAAAGGGTTGAGAAGTGCTACTTCATTCCACCTACAGGAGCGGAGTTTTTAATGATGGTCCCTATTGGATTCCACTGAGGCTTATGCATCCGGAACCTGAGAATTTAAAAGTAGTAGTGTCTGTTGGTCCGCACATGTGCCCTTGCTTCATCTCATGGTTTTGTCTCAGGCAACAAAGGACGGGGCAGACTGACTGCGCCCTCAGTTTTCTCACCACCACATGATCCAAGTCAAAGCTGCTGGTGTCCTCTCATCTTTCTCTGATGCACTTTAAAAAAACCACCACCACCACCTGTTTTTAGAATTGTACATAGTTTTGGTGGTTGTTTTTTCAGTAGTTTCAGTTTTAGTGTTAGTTTTCAGGAATTAAGAGACTTGGGGACTCCATTTCTCCAGTTCCCCATTCCCCAGCATCCATGCCTGGATTATGCTGATGACATCGGGGTTCAAGATCTGCACCTCCTGTCCACGTTCATTCTCGATCATTGATGAGCAACGCTGCCCTGTACTGCTTGGGAGAAGCCCACATTTGATCCAGGTGCAGTGTCCTCTTGTCCTTCCCAAACTGTACCTGGGAAGACTGGGCTCTCCGCCTCAAGAAGCACCTCATAGAGGTTGTCATGAGGCTGCAATTGGATCCAGGCTGGGACCTTCCATCCTTCCTGGACATGAAGCTCATCATAGACACATCATTTCGCAGATGGGGTGCCCATGTGAGTGAGCACATGACCCAGGGGACTTGGACCACTTGGGAATCCAGAGTGCATATCAACATTCTGGAGCTTTGAGCGGTACAGAGGGTGTGTCATGCATTTCTCCCATCTATTCGCTCCCATCATATTCTCGTCATGTTGGACAATAACGCTGTCGTTTATTATATCAACAAACGGGCATCTGGTCACTGGCGCTTTGTGCAGAAGTGCTCTAGTTGTGCAATTGGTGCCTTAACTGCAAGATCTTGTTGTCGGAAGCCTATATTCCAGAGACTCAGAACGTGATTGTTGGCGCTCTCAGCAGGAAATTCATGACCGACCATGGATGGCATGACACCATAGGTCAGCGATGTTTTCAACCAGTGGGAGACTCCGACCAGGGATCTCTTTGCTTCCTACAGCAATAGCAGATGCATACTGCTCCAGAGGGGATCTCGCACCCATTTCCAAGGCGATGCCCTCGTCATCCACTGGTCATATCAGATCAATTATGCCTTTCCCCTGCTAGTGCTGCTGCCGCATGTCATCTGCAAGATCAGGTGGGAGAGCGCCACGGTTATTCTGATAATCCTATTCTGACTTTGCCAATTCTGGTTTCCCCACCTTCTCTGCATGTGAGCGGCTCCTCCACAAAGACCATTACCAATTCAGAGTCCTCCTGTTCAGACTAGTTATGGCACCTGGGGTCTTGACAAAAGTCTTTTTCAATGGTGGCAACCTGGATGAGAAGAAACAGCTTTACTGTCTTTCCAGATCCAGCATGGAGGTCCAGTCAGCAACCTCATTCCTAGTCTGCCTATTATCTCTCCTGGGAATCTGTATCAGCGAAAAAAGTCAACTTTGATTTCCAGAAGGACCACAGATTTCATAGAAATGATTTTGGACTTGACTACAGCAAGAGCCTACCTCTCCTAATGGAGAGATTCCACACCATGAGCAATTTTGATAAAATAGGTCTGCAGCAAATCTCAGACTCCAGTCAGGGTCTGCCCTTCCCTTCTAGGCATCGTGGCCTCATGCACCCACGTAACACCATTTGCCAGGCTCCACCTCCACTTCGGTCTGTCTACTCCCCAGACGACAGTGCCAGAATAACAATCCTGGCCAAGGCGATGGCTTCTCCTGCCTGGTGGGCAAACCCAGAAAAAGTTTGTGAGGGTTCTTTTTCTCACACCCTCACGCAAGGCGACTATCGTCACGGATGCTTCCCTCTAAGGTTGGAGAGCCCACATGAACAATCGCATTGCACAAGGCACCTGGACCCCTTGAAAAGCCAGGATGCATATCATCAACCTACTGGAATTCAATCTACCTTGCAGCAGTGAGCACCTTTCATCCTCTGATTGAAGGCCATACTATCTTCACTCATCCAACGAGAATTAGAATCCTGAGGGAACTAATTAGAATTTTCCCACCAGTGGTTAAACCAACACTACAAAGGGATCTTAATCTGATCCTTACCACATCCCCTTTTGAACCAATGGCCACTTGTTCCATGTCCCACCTATTGATGACAGTTGCCTTTCTAGTTGCCATCACATCAGCCAGAACAGTGAGCGAGCTGGGAGCACTTATGGAAGATCCATTATATACCATTTTTCATAAAAAGGTCTTTCTTCGCCTCCACCAAAATTCATCCCTAGTGTAATTCCTGAGTTTCACATAAATCAAACCATCCACTTACCGCTATTTTTTCCCCCAAAACCTCATGCTTCTGATGAGGAGAGAAGGCTTCACTCTCTCTAGATGTCCAATGGGGTACTGGCATTCTATCTGCAGAGAACAAAAGCAATTAAGAAAACACATAGAATATTTATTGCCTCAGCAAAGTGATCAAGGGTCAAGCATTATCCACCCAGAGACGCTCTCTGAATGGAGCTCAGGCAGCAGCATCCTTCTCTACTAACTAGCAGGTATCCTCCCTCCAACCCTGGGAGGGCATGAGAATCCACTCCATTAGAGCGCAAGCAACCTCTACAGCACCTCTACGAGACATACCTCTATTAGATATGTGTAGGGTGGCTACCTGGAGCTCTGTCCGTACCTTCACAAAACATTATGCGTTGGGCCAAACATCTGCTGCAGATACAGCTGTGGGAATGTCAGTACTGCAGATATCCATACCATCTGCATCCTTGCACCAACCTCCTGTTTGCTAATCTCCTATGTATGCACATAGGGGCCATCTCTCAAAGAAGTGGAGGTTACTTACCTGTAACTGGAGGTTCTTCAAGGTGTGTGGTCCCTATCTGTATTCCACTGCCTGTCGTCCGTCCCCTCTGTTGCGTATCATGACTGGATTCATGGTAAGAGGAGGAACTGGAGCGTCATCATTCCACACTTTCCCTTCTACGCTTGGTTCAGAGCACAAAGAGAGCAATTGTGCATGTGTGGACCACGGGACACTGCTTACTAAAAATCTCCAGACTTGGGCGCATGATGTGCATGCGTACCCAAAGAACCTCCAGTTACAGGTAAGTAATTTCCATTGTTCTTTATTGGGGGAGCGCTTGAGGGGATGGGAATGGTGGGAAGAGTGGGGGAGAAGGAAACTGGCAGAGGTGTAGAAATGGGAAAGGAGAGAGAAGCATAATGGACAGGGAGGGTAAGGTTGGACAGGGCTGTTCGAGAGGCCACTGGGTCCAGTGGCCTGGAGCTAGTGCTGGCCACTGTTGGCAAGAAGCTCTGAAGGTTGTAGTGATTCCCTAGTTTGTGCCCTGTGAGCTCTTCTAGCTGCTGCTGCGGCTCCCCATGTGGCTGGAGGAAGTGATGCCCATTTGGCCTTGCACCGTATATGTATCCAGCTGAGTCTGGAGCAGGTTTTCTGCGGAGCTAGACGATCCTACCTTTGGCTATAGCTGGTGCTGGATGTTTTGGGGAACAAGCCCAGAGGCCTCCATCTAATCCAGGGGTGGGCAAACTTCTTTGCCTGAGAGCCACATTGGGGTTCTGAAACTATATGGAGGGCCGGGTAGGGAAGGCTGTGCCTCCGCAAACAGCCTGGTCCCCGCCGCCATCCGCCCCCTCCCACTTCCCGCCCCCTGACTGCCCCCCCCAGAACCCCCAACCCCCTGCTCCTTGTCCCCTATCTGACCCTCCCACTTCCTGCCCTCTGACTGCCCCCCTCAGAACCTCCAACCCCCCTGCTCCTTGTCCCCTATCTGCCCCTCCCACTTCCCGCCCCCTGACTGCCCCCCTTAGAACTTCCAACCCCCCCTGCTCCTTGTCCCCTATCTGCCCCCTCCCGGGACCCCCCACCCCCTGACTCGCCCCCGAGACCGCCACCCCCTCCCCCCCAGTCCTCTGACTGCCCCGACCCCTATCCACACCCCC